CTCTCTCTCTCTCTCTCCCCAAAGCACAACCCCGCCCCCCCCGCCCCCCCGAAAAAAAAAATAAAAAAAATGCGCATCCAGCGCACCTGCCCCAGCCCAACCCGCATGCGTGCGCGCAGCGCATGGGCGCATGCCTGCGCAAGCATGCACATGTGCGCTTCGCCCGGCACATAGCGCAGCGCAGCGCGCACCGGTGCTGTGCGCCACAAGTATGATACTTTCTCTTCCACCTTCTAAGTCTATCCTCCCCCTCTCCTCCTTCGTCCTTTGGTTACGGGACATTGTATCACAGATTACATTTCACGATTATTGGGGACATTTATCAGCGCTGAGTTATCTTGCATTTCAACGCTTGACGGGTTTCCTCCAGACTGGATTCATTACAGACGAATCAATTCGATCAAGTACTGTATAGAGTATTACAGGCACTTTTATAACAACAATTGACAACTTCGTTTTGATTTGTATGTCTTCTTTGAGCTGATTAGTTCATGCTGGCGTGATACTATTGATCAATGATCATTGCCGGTAAGCTGGGCTTGAAGGTTATGACAGTCTTTTGGCTCATGTCTTAACTGTCGCTCTTTCCACTTGCTTTTCTTCTCGTTCCATAGGTGCCTGATTTTCTAGATTTCAGGTTCCTTTTTCCACTCATGCTCCCATCTGTTGTCATTCGTCATCCGCGACCATGGTAGGCCTTCTTCACTGGTATTGCAGAGTACATGTTGTTGGTCAATGTCTAGCCTTCTGTGGCATTGTCCTCCTCTATGCTTGAATCACAGCTTCCCAGTGCAGTTCCGAAGCTAAGTTTACTATCTGATGATGGTAGAGGGTGGGATGCATTTTTCGTTTTAGACCTACTTGACCATCTGTTGCCAATCTCCCGAAGAGACAAAAGGAAGGAGGCCACTGGGAAGAATATTATCCAGCATTGGCAGCATGGTGGCAGCACTTGAGCAGCACATTGCGGCCAGAGTGCACCCTGCGAGAGGAGGCAGCTACGGTGGCTGCTGTGCTAGCCCCTCCCATAGCTGGGCAATGCTAAGAGGGGTTGAAAGGTGGTGAGGTGTGTGGAGGAAGGTGGGAACTTGCAGTACTTACCAGTGTTGCCGAGAGGCAGCCTGTCTGAGGAGACTCTTCAAGGCGCATCTGACACCTGGACAGAGAGAGCATGTGGATAGTAGACTAGCATGCGTAGGAGGAGTAGAAGGTAGTTGTAAGGCGGACATATCACAGTGAGGCTGCTACATTGTTGTTTTATTGATTATTTGAGGCAAGCAGTGGGGTTTTCTTTGTCAAGAGACTTCAGTGTCCAGTTTGCTTTTAACTGGTATCATCTCAGCTTTTGTATTCCGCTTTCAACTTGGCTCACTCATGCTTGATCTTCTATGAGTTTATGCACTTTGGAAATTTTGTGTTCTCGTTGCATGGCTCCTTGCATTTTGGTATCGGGATGTGTTCTTCGACACGTGCCATCCTAGCTGGCAGGTCAGGCCATATGGTGCCGACAGTCAACCATAGGCAGTGTGATTGACTCACCAACTGGATCATCAGAATGCATGGGCGGATGTTGCATGAGATCTGGTGCGAGTGTATTAGCGCTTGGCGTTGCTTAAAGCGGTACTGGTATTGTTGCAATGACTTGCTGGTTCCAGGTTGCCTGTAGCTTCTCTCTGACGAGGCTGTACCATAGGTAGGGATAGATTCGTAATTTGGTTTGGTTGGTTTGGCTGAGGGCTAACCGAGAGACCTACCTGTAAGGAAAATTCATGAGGGACATATTTGTAAATATAGGAAATATGGGGCCCGTACCAACTCGAATTTCCTACAGCTACCCTAACTGCGAATAGCAGACCCGGGCTACCCCTAGGACAGACAGGCCCGATGGGCCTACACTGATAGACGGTCCTATAGCCTATAGCCGGGTAGGAAGAGGCCCTAAGGGCTGAATCAGAAACGGTACCGGTCGGTCAGTCAGTCCGGTCTAGGTTGAGTCTAGGCTAGGGTAGAGTATAGATAGGATGGAAAAATCGGTCCTGTTTTTTTTGGGAGTTGACACTTCGTGGTGGAAGTTGCTGCGCACGCAGCATCAGGTCGTGGTGACTGATTCATGCCTGCGAGACCGCGGCCATAGCCAGACCTTCGGAGCGCTGACCAGACTGGGCCAACGCTGTCTGCTCTGCCTCTCTGAGAGTCAAAGCGGTCTGGGCTAGTAGAGGTCTGATGCGTTGGAGCACGTGGTGCCCTGCTGACCCTCCTCAGGAGTAGGGTCCCAGTGGCGATGCATCCATAGCTGCATCTTCTCAAAGATGATCATCGTCTGGACTTCATCTTCATCAGAGATTGTTGGCGCTGGGCTTCTCCTTCATCATCTGAGTGGAGATTGGCTCTGGGAGCCTGTTTCATACTGGCGCAGGCCACTGAGTTGGATGTCAGGGTGGCGCTAGGTGTTACCTGGGGTTCTGGTGCTATTTTTAGCTGTTCAGAGCGTGTGGGGTTGAGGCGCTACCCTTCTGAGGGCAGCTGTGGCATACTGCGTAGCCACACGGGCCCTGCAGGGCCCGTCCCAGACATTCAGCCTAAAAGCCTAAAACTTAGGGCTTACAGGCCCCGGTCGTTTCAGCCTGAAAGCTGAAAAACGAGGGCCTGCAGGCCCTACTCCGTTTCAGCCTATTTCTGGGTCTTTCAGACCCAGAGTTTTTCCAGCCTGAAATGGAGGGCCATTTTCAGGACCTCATTGTTTCGACCTGCCCCTGAGACTCAGGCACGTAAACAGGGATGCGGAACAGGCCAGAAATAGCCTGTTCCTCACGAGCTTGAGCAGGAGCTGCAGCGGCAGCCCCTGACTCCGATCGGCATTGGCAAGAGCAGCCTCCTGGACTGCTCGCCTGCAGTCAGGAGGCACCCGTGGTAGTACATAGGGACTTCCCAGGCACTTCACGGGTAGGTAGTCTCCAGTAGGCACGAGTAGTCTTCAGGATTCAGCAGCAGCACTCAGGAGGAGCGCTGCAGTAGTCTTCAGCGCTAGGTAGTAGTTAGCGCTAGCTGTAGTCTTCGGCGCTGGGCGCCCATAGCCTTAGTGGCAGTCTTCAGCGCTGGGCGCTATGGTAGGTGGTAGATAGTAGAGTTGGGAGAGACACTGGCGGAGGCCAGTAGTACTTACCTGTGGCGCCATCGCTCCAGCTCCATCTGCGAGGTACCTGCATCAAGGCACCAACTTCACAGGTTAGTACTGGATACAGAGAGAGAGAGAGTTCTTCTTCTTCCTCCTCTAAGTCCACCATCTCTTCTCACCCTCTCACCACCTGACTTCTCAGACTACGACAGAGAGAGACAGAGTTGTGACTTGAGACTTGACGACAATGGATCCAGACTTGACATTTGGGATTCAGACGTTTCGACGAGGGACTATTTGGGCTTCTGCCTAAGACTTGGTGTTGACGACATTCCCATCTTCCCCCTCCTCTTCGTCTATCCCCTTCCTCTTCGTCTGTGTATGGTATGGGCTGGCGCCGTCTTCCTGTGTGAAGCGCCAGGCCCCATTCACACCATGTAAAGATGACGATGATGTATGTTCAGGGCCGCATTGCAACATTGATTGTTCGGATCACTGGTATCTAAGTCTTCCGCTGTGCTATCTTATACTTCGTATTGAAAGGTCGGTTCTTGTTCTGGTCTGCACGTTACAGTATGCAACAGTTTGGTATCGGAGCGGACCTCTCATTCAGAGGACCCGCTCAATCAAGTAGCCAGCTTGCGATCTATTGATCACTCATTAGTAACGCAAGTAGGACTTAGCCAAATCTCTGAATTTTTTTTTTCGCAACAACTATCTGAAAATTTCTGATATTCGCATTTCGTTCTATCTGAAAATTTCTGATATTAGTAGTTC